AGCACCGGATGCTCATTTTAGGTTGTCATTTCCTACCCATTAGTATTAACTCCACTACTTATAAACATCCCACTACTACCTGGTTTGTGAAAATTGTGTTCCCTTTTTTGTCTACCAGATCACATGCAACCTCCCAGAATCACAGAATGTCAGAACAGGAAGCGAACCTTAGTTCAGCATTCTAGTTGTACAGATAAGGACCCTGACACAATGACATTAAAATCACACAGAAAACTGAATACTTATGTGTGAGGGACAGTGGAATTTTCTGATGTTAAAAATATGTGCATTTATTTTTTAAAAAAAAAGTTGAAAGTCTCCCTCATTGCTTACCCCTCAGCACTGTTTTGTACCCTAGGCAAAGTCTGAGTTCTGGGAGCCTCCTAGAGTCAGCCCAGGATTTGGAGTTGGGACCTAGTTTTGAATCCTGATTATTGTTGCTTCCTAGCTTGGGAAAATTGCTTGGCCTTTCTTTGCTGTAGTTTCCCGTCTCATGAGGAGGAGGTTGGTGTCTAAAGGATCTTTAAACTCTGAATCCAAGGATCCATCTCCTTTCCTCTTTGTGTTTGCCAGTGAGCTCCTTAAACTTGAGACTCTCAAATACTTATGCCCTGGAATTCTATGACTTGCCATTATGGGAGTTAGTCATACTCCCATGTAGGAAATTTCTCCAGGAGTGGGGGGGAAGATGTAGAGCTACCCCCCTTCCCCCCCCCGTCCCTTTTCTCCATGTTCCTATCTTCTCATCTTCCTAATTGCAAGACAACCAAGGACAAGAACAAACCTGTTCATTTCTACCTTGAATATGAAACTCGAGGGTAGCATACTGACTGAGGGAACAGTTTGTTTTGCTTTGAAGGTTGGAGTGAGAAAAAGAGAATACAGCCAGTGGAAGAAGAGAAAGCCAAAGTGGCAGATTTGTTGAATGAATGAATGAAGGATATATTAAGTCCTTTCTATGTGCAAAGCACTGAACTCTTGAGATACAATTGTCTTCTATTTATCAAGTGCCTGCTATATGCAAAGGGATACAAAGTAAAAAAAAATGAAACAGTTCCTCTGAAAAGGGTTAGATAGCAGCTACCTTGGGTTTTTAGAAATGTTAATTAATCCAACTGCCTTTAGAAATACAAACGTTGTTTCAGAGCATGACCAAAATATAAGAGATGGATGAGACAACCCGAGTAGTATCCTGACAACCTCCAGGAACACTAGCCTAAGAATTAGAAGACCTGTAATATGACTTACTGAAAATTCATAGATGTTTGATCTAAGGCAACTTTCTTGACCTTTCTAAGCTTCAGTTTCCTTATCTATATAATGGGGGTAATAATACCTTTATTTCCTGCCTCACAAGCTTATTGTGGGGAAAGTGCTTGGTAAAATTCATGTTTTATATATATTTTTATGTCTGTCTGTCTATCTATCTATCTATCTATCTATCTATCTACATATCTATCTCAGCTATTATTTAATGACAAGACAGATAAAATTCCATTGTAACAAATTACATGAGTTGTATTGGTAGAGTAAAATTCTGTCATAATATAAAAATCCCATTCATAGGCTCCTAAATCTGATGATTGAAACAGAAATCTAGTTCCTAAAGTCAGGTAAAACTCCTAAGTGAATAGAAGTGCTTGGAAGCTATTAGGGGAGTGATTACTCACTTCTATTATCCATTTTATTTCCCACTATAATACTATTATTCTCCCATGGTATTGATGTTTTAAGATTAAAATGAATTAAATTTTTCTCTTGGAATTTTAAGACAATAGTATAACTCCCTTTGAAATCGATCCATTAGAGTGTAAGCTTCTTGAGGACAGGGACTCTCTTTTGCTTCTTTTTATATCCCTAGCACTTAGCAAAGTGCCTGGCAACATAGTAGGCACTTAATAAATGTTGATTGATTGATGGAAACACCTTTGATCACTGGAGACTGTTAAATGTCATTGGAGATCATGAGACACAGCTATGATCTGTCCCAAAGCCAGGATTGGAAGACCATATAACAAGGGAGAAATGGAGATTCAAACATTTATTAGGTGCCTAGCATGTGCAAGTCTGTTAAGTATTGGGGATACAAAGTAAATTATAAAGCAGTTGTGCTCTCAGGAAGCTTACATGGGATCATAAGACTCAGAGCTGGAAGGGACTTTATATTTAAACAAATCCTTAATTTGATGAGAACATAATGAAGCTCAGAGAGGTGACTCCTCCAAGGTCACAGAGTTTACAAGTAGTAGACATGGGATTTGAATCCAGGTCCTCTGACTCCAGATTCTCTTTCCATTATCCTAAATCACCACTGTAGAGAGATTACTGGAATGAGAGTTAAAGAACCTGAGTTTTAGTCACTATCTCTGTTACTAACTTGGAGGCTGGAAAGTGCTTTAACAGAGCATAAAATCCACATAAATGCATATGTTGGTGGCTGCCATGATGTTGTCCTTGATCCTGAATCTGTTGGAAAGCAATGGTTGTGGTGGTGTCTTGGTTTATGGTTTGGATGTTGAGAGGTAGAGGAGAGGCCTTTGGTTCTTGATGACAGGACATAATAAAAACCTGCTTCCCACCCCTCCCCACTCACTTCAAACACAATAACCATTCCTTTTGTTTTAGTTATTTTTATATGAAGAGGCTTGGTGGGGGGAAGTATTAGTTGACTAGATAATTTATTCTAACCTCATCTCACTCACTCTAGGTCTGGGTTGTGTGCTGGAATATGGAGATAAGTGTGTTCTACTTGACCTGTCTTTATGATGGCCTTCGCTGTAATGGGATGTTTTACCTATCCTTCCAACAACATGAAAAAAAAGACTGAGATGTCAGTGACTATACCTTATTAAGTTCATGACAAAAATGCTGCCTCTCTGGCATACTGTGTTTCATAAACAACGTTCATTGTTTCTTCACCAGTCTCTAGGCCCCAAATTCATCTTCCTTCTTACATCCTGGTCAACTTGAAGCTTTTCACATCTTAGTCTCTTTCTAAAACCTGTCAGTTCTTCCATTGGGTCTACTCTTCAGACTCCATTTTCTCTGACTTTTGGTCCATTTAATCACTTTATGCTTGACTGACTCAAATAACCTCTTGGCCAGGGGTGGGGAACCTGTGGCCTGGAGGCCACATGTGGCCCTTTGATTGAATCCAAATTTTGCTTCTTTTTATGAAGGGGATTTGTTCCGTGAAGTTTGGATTCAGTCAAAGGGCCACACTGGAGAATCTGGAGGGCCACATGTGGCCTCCAGGCTGCAGGTTCCCCATCCCTACTCTTGGCTATTCTCCCAGCCTTTTCTTACCCCTTGTATCTAGTGTTTTTTTGCCCATAGTAATAAGACTTGTTTTTCTAGACTGTTCAGATTATCATATCACTTGCTTCTTAAAATCCTTCAGTGGCTTCTAGTCATTTTTTTCCCTTTCCAGTCACTTCATAAATCAAATGAAATCATCTGAAGATTGATGGGGGGTGGAGGGGAGGACTGGTCTTGGGAGTCAGGAGAACTGGCTTTGAGTCTGTTCTATGACCCCAGGACAAATCACATAGTCTTCCCGAATTTCAGTTTTCTCATCTATAATTTATGAGTTTCAGTTTTCTCATCTGTAAAATGGGGGCAAAGTTTATTTCATAAAATATTTCTCAATTGTTTTTTTTTTAATTTAACATTTAAAAAATTTCGAATTCCAGATTTTCTCTATTTTTCTTGCCCCTCCACTACCCCTTGAGAAAGCAAGCAGTGATATTTGATTATACATGTGAAGTCATGTAAAACTTATTTCCATTTTAGCTATGTTGCAAAAAAAAGAAAGAAAAATAAAGAAAATTTTAAAAGTATTCTTCACTCTTCACTCAGAGTTCATCAGTTTCTCTCTGGAAATGTATAACATTTTTCATCATGGAAACTTTGGGATCATCTTGAATCACTGTCTTGCTTAGAGTAGCTAAGTCTTTCACACTTGATCATCTTTACAATATCGCTATTACTGTGAACGATGTTCTGGTTCTGTTCACTTTACATCAATTCATATAACACTTCCCAGGTTTTTCTGAAACCATCCTCCCTCATCATTTCTTATTCCATCACAATCATATAGCACAACTTGTTCAGTCATTCCCCAATTGATAGGCATTCCCTTAATTTCTAATTCTTTGCCACCACAGAAAGAGCAGATATAATTTTTTTTTTTTTTGCAAGGCAATTGGGGTTAAGTGACTTGCCCAGGGTCACACAGCTAGTAAGTATCATATGTCTGAGGCTGGATTTGAACTCAGGTCCTCCTGACTCCAGGACCAGTGCTCTATCCCCTGTGCCATCTAGCTGCCCAGATATAAATATTTTTGTACATTTAGGTCCTTTTCCTTTATCTTTGATCTCTTTGGGATACAGACCTAGTAGTAGTATTGCTGGTCAAAGGGTATGGCTTTATAAAACTTGGGCATAATTCTAAATTGTTTTCCAGAGTGGCTGGACCAGTTACTACACCAAGTGTTCATTAGTGTCCCTGTTTTTCTGCAATCCCTTCTAGCATTTGTCATTTTTCTTTTCTATTATGGTAGCCAATCTGATAGGTGTGAGATGGTGTCTCAGGGTTATTTTATTTTGAATTTCTGTAATCAGTAGTGATTGAGAGCATTTTTTCTTGTGACTTATTGATAGCCTTGATTTCTTCTGAAAATTGCCTGTTTATATCCTTTGACAATTTATCAACTGGGGAATGGCCTATATTTTTATAAATTTGGCTCATTTCCCTATATAGTTGAGAAATAAGGCCTTTAACAGAGACACTTGCTGTAAAAAGTTTCCTGCTTTCCTATTATTGTTGAGAGCGTCACCATTCACTCAGTGACCCCAGCCTCTCAATCTTAGTATCAACTTTCAATCCTCTCATTCACCCCATATATCAGTTCTCTTGGCAAATTTTGTCATTTCTTCCTTCACAACATCTGTCCTATACATCCCCCTTCTTTTCACTCACTTAGACACCAGCCTCTTACCTGGAATATTGCCATAGCCAACTCAGTCTCCATTCAGCTTCTGAAATTATTTCCTTGAAGTGCAGGTCTGAACATGTCACCTTTGTACTTTGATAAACTTTAGTGGCTCCCTATTACCTTCAGGATCAAATATAAAGTTCTTTAAATATTAAAGCCCTTTATAACCCGGACCCTTCCTACTTTTCCAGTCTTATACTTGATGCCTCTCTATACACTGATCTAGCTATACTGGCCTCCTTGCTGTTCTAATACATGACACTCAGTCTCCTAACTCCATGCCTTTGTACTGACTAGAATTCTGTCCCTCTTCACCCCATCTCCTAGTTTCTCCACCTCGAATCCCACCCTCTACAGGAGGCCTTTCCTGTTTTCCACCTTTAGTACCTTCCCTCTGTGACTGCCTTCCATTTACTCTATTTCTCACATATGTACATGGTTTTTCCATGTTCTCTCCCTCAGTAGAATGTGAGCTCATTGAGGCAAGGATTGTGTTTTTTCCTTTTTTTGTATCTACAGTGCTTGGCACATAGTAAATTCTTAGTAAATGTTTGTAGACTGACTATAGAAATATTTTGTTGTGTATGGGAAATAGCAAGGAACTTGGAATCAAAAGACATTGATTGTCATTTCTGCCTCATAACATCTATCCTGTTCATCCCCTTCTTTTCAGTCATACAGCTACCACCCTGATACAGTCTTCCTCATTCCTCACTCCTAACTGCTCTTCCTGCTTCGAATATCTCCCCACTAGGTTTGTTTTTGTTTTAGCGAGGCAATTGTAGTTGAATGATGTCTGAGACTGGATTTGAACTCAAGTCCTCTTGACTCCAGGGCTGGTTCTCTATCCACAGTGCCCCCCTAGTCGTCCCTTTTTGGTTTTTTTGTTTTTGTTCCCCACTAGGTTTGAATTCCAGCACTGGTATTCATTAGCTGTGTGACCTTGGGCAAATCAGTTCAACTTTCAGGGGCTGTTAGTTTCCTTACCTCTAAAATGAAGGGATTGGACCAGAGATAATCTAAGATATCTTCTAGCTTTGATATTCTACTGTTATGCAGGACCTTTTGCAAACTAACTACTGCCTGGCTTCTACCAAATCATGTTCTTCCTCTCCAAAACTTAAAAAGTTTACCTCCTACAGGCAGCTTTCCCAGACTTCTAGCACTATGACTAGAAGACATGCAAAACTCTTATGTATGACTCCAAGACATACATAAGGACAAGTGAAAGAAACAACACATATGCATGACTAATTAATTATAACTCTAGGTTCACCAGTATTATATATTAATTAAAGTGGTAAGAAGAAAATGCAGGATCCAGATGTATATATGCTTTGTTGTATTCCTCTCATTTGGGTTGCAGTTAGAGGGAAGAGGCCATTTTATCTTTTTCAGTGCTAATCCTCTGAGGTCATGGAGTGCTATTAATTTCACTTTTGTTAAACAGGGAAGAGCTAAGAAATAGTTAACAGTTTGAATCTATTAGGTTGTACTCTGTATCTTTCATGTGGTCTTTTCACCCTTGCCATTAGAAGATTGTATGGAACCAGGAACTTCCTATTTAACTTCTCCAACCCCCACTTTTTGACCCTCTAAAAACTATTAACACTCCTTGAGGGGAAACAGTCAGCGGTAAAGCCAATAGTAGTGGGCCGTTTTCTGCTTTTCAGCTCAGAGTAGCTTTTTATGCCAGTTTTCTAGAGAAAGTCCTTGATTTTCAGGAGGCGAATGGCTCACATTAATTTTTAGCTCCTATATAATGCTTTAAAGTTTGCAAGGTTTTTACTTGTGTTACCTCGTCTGATCTTCACAACGCCCCTATTTTACAGATGAGAAACCTGAGGCCCAGAGGTGATACTTGCCCAGGGCCACATAGCTACTAAGTGTCTGAAGCAGGAACCGAACTTAGCCCTTTCTGATCCCAGTTTCCAGACCTCTAGCCACTACGCCACCCGGCTTAGTTGGATAGAGCCGGTCTTGATGACGTGGGTTTGAGTAAGTCTTCTGGCTGGTTGTGTGACTCTGGACAAGTCACCTAACCCCAGTGTTCCTTCCAGGCAACTAATTCTCTAAGACTGTAAGCTGAGGTTTTCTCAACCTTGGTCCTCCTTACACCAAAGAAGGAAAAGGTTAGAGAGAGTTTGAAGACGGGAAGGAACTGTGGAGACCATTAGATCCAAGCTCACATTTCATTATTTCCTTACCCATGAGGAAGGTGAGGCTCAGAGATCGATGACTTGCCCTAGGTCACACAGTTTGGAGGTTGCAGAGTTAAACCCATGGCCTCTGACTCTAAATCCAGGTTACTGCTCCACAAGTATGGCAGGTGAATCGAAGACGAGGAAAATGGGCCTGTCTCTTGATGACGGCAGAAAACTGAGGAGTTCCAGGTTCCAGCTGTCTCCTGTTTTCAGAGGAAGAGTGTAGGGTGGGGAAAGAAAGAAGGGCGCTGGCCCTTTAAGGAGGCGGGGCATGCAATGGAACTCTGTACCTTTAAGAGTCTCTTTGTCTGTGAAACCCTCATATTTACCCTCTTGTGACTCAACCAAACTTCTCCCCGCGATTCACAAAAGCCTCGCTACACCGCCGTCCTTTACGCCAGCCTCGAGGCTGCCGCCGAGCGTTGGCGGCTGACCCTTTGCGCGGCGCCGTTGGCGGCGCGAGAATCCGTAGAAGAATACACTTGGTGCTGGGCGGAGGGGGGGCCAGGGGTGGGAGGGGGGGAGCACAGGGTCTGAGCGCTGCGCTGTTGGCGCACTGCAGGGCCGGGTAGGGCGGGGCCCGGACGGGCTGGGCCAATGGGCGTGGAGGGGGCGGGGCCCTGCCGTTCGGTTGTCTCGCGCTCCGGTGACAGCTCGCGCGTGCTGATGATGGCGGTAAATAGAGGGGGGGTGGGAAAAGGGGGGGTGGTTTGCAGGGGAGGTGGAAGGAGCGGTAAATGAGGGCAGCGCCAGGGGGCGGCGGTGGCTGGGGGGACACACTCACCGAAACGAAGACAGGGGAAGCCCAGCCTAGGATTCAGGGGGCGGGGACAGGAGTCCTTAACCCACCGGCGTCCCCCCCCAAAACACACACACACACACACACACACACAAAATGCACACACCGGGTGAGGGGGCGACAAAGGCGGCGCGCGCCTCTGAGTGAGGGAACAACGTGGGGTGGGGGGAGGGGAGGCAGCCGGGAGGGGGCGGGGCGGGTGGGGGAGGAAATGGGGGAGGGGGCGTGCCATGGGGGGGCTTTAGAATGGGGGAATAGCTGGGGGGGGTCTGGAATGGTGGGGAAGGGTGGGCATCGAGAGTTTGGAATAGAAGGGGCATGAACAAGTGGAATGGGGGGGTCCAGGGAGGGGGTGAAAGAGACCACTGATGAGTGTGACTGTGGGAAACAGGGGTGATGGAGAAGGAGAGAAATAGGGTTTGGGCAAATGTGAGGGGAAGGGCAGAAAGGCAGACAGGGGAACGGAGACCAGTTTTTAATGAAGGCTTGGTGGGGAGCTGGGTAATGAGAGCAGAGATAGGATTGTGAAGACAGGGGAGATCCATGGGGGGAATGAAATAGGATTGAAGGAGGTGGAGGGGCCATGGGGCAATGAGCTGAGAATGAGGGAGAGAGATGGGATTGGGAGAGGTGGGATAAGGGCTCCTGGAGGGCAGGAGGGAAATGAGATTTAGAGGAGGCTGAGGAGCAAGATAAAAGAAGAGAGCCAGGGAAACCATGTTTTAGGTTGAAGGCTTGGAGGCAGGGGGGGAATCCCAGTGAGGGAGGAAAATTGAATTTAGGAGAGAAAGGGGATCAAATCATGGAGGAACTAAAAGAGGGAAGGAGATGGCATTTAGTAGAGAAAGGTGATCAGAGAAGGAAGAAGATGATAGGCTTTGGGAAGCGAGAAGGGGATAAAAGCCCAGAGAGGGAGAGAGATGGGTTTTAAGGGATGAAGGAGGATGGTATCAATGATAGCTTAGAAACTGAGGGAGGGAAACCAGGATTTTTAGCGAAGTGGAGGTGATTGAGAGAGGTGAGGTGGTGTGGGGCAATGGCTGACACTGAGGGGAGAAAACGAAGCTTGAGAGATAGAATGGGGACAAGTAAGAACTGAGTGTAGAGGGCAGGGCAGGTGAATAGTTTGATTGAGATAGCCTTAAAATCTAGGGCAGTAAAAGGCTGCCATTGAGAAAAGCTAAGAACTGGGTAGAGAGGTTTTTGTAGGGGAGATGAAGAGGTAGATGAAGGACTACATAAAATAGCAGCATAGAAGAAAGGCAGACTAGTTAAGGGTTAGGGCTAAGTAAGTTTAGGTGGTGAGGAGGAGGTAAAAGTTGTAGGGATTTAAATAAGAGGTGATAAGAGGGTAAGTTTAGGAAATGGGAGGTGAATTGAGAGAGATGGGGAACAGAACTAGAGGAAGTGAGATGAAGAGTTGGGGAAAATAGGTTAAAGGGAGGCAAACGAGCCTAGGTAGGTACAGACCTGGGAGAAAAGGCACAAGGGTGAGGATCAAATGCCATATGTGGAGAATTGATCCAGAAGCTCTGGAGGGCTCAAGGTGCAAAAACTTCAGTGGTAATTGGAGGGAAATGGACTGGGATAGGGAGCTGCTGGTGCAGAAGAGGAACCATGGTGAGTGAAAGGGGAAAGAGAATTTAGAAGCAAGGGTAAGAACTAAAGATAGGAGGTGGGGGCAGGGAATGGGTCTACAGAATTCTTGGGTGAGAGGGGAGCAATAGGGGAGGATGAAACTTGAGTTCCTTTGTCCCCAGAAAGGCTATAATGCCTCCACCCCCCCTTTTTTTTCTCCCCCAAGGAGTCTTTAATCCTCTCCCACCATTCAGCTCCTTTAATCCTTTTGGTTTTATGAGCACTATTGAAAAGTTGTGGCCAAATTTGATTTAATTTCGTTCTTACACAGTATGAATGATATAGTGCCCCAAGGATAGTGATGAAAAGCTATGCATTTAACTTCTTTGGTAGTAATGGGAAAACATAGTACTTAATAAATGTTTTTATCTACTGTATGGATATAACTGTTTTGTGTGATAGTGTTAATGTTGTATTTGCTGTATTGTACCAGAACGACTTGAGGCGAGTACTCGGGGCAAAATTGTCATACACTTTTGTCTTCAATTGAGAGTGTGGTAATGTGGGGGTAGGGAATGGTGAGAAATTCTGTTTCAGTTAATTCATGGAGTTGCTACTTGGTTATTTAGGCAGCTGAAGAGTACTGAGAAATCAGTTTAGAAAAATGTGAACAGCCCAGGAAGAGAGTTAATCTGTATTAAGAGATTTAAATAGGGAACTGATTCCTTGTCTTTAACTTGGGTAGACTCTTGAACACTGATTTATCTCAAAATGTTTTAAAATGGAATGGAGTATGAGGAAAAACATGGAAAATTAGACTTTGGTTTTATGTTGACTAAGGAGGTCCTGAGAAATTCTATCAGTTTTGAAAATCGCTGTAACATAATTGCAAGTTGTAGAAATTGGCTGGCTCTGAGTATTCCACTGCCTTCCCCTCCTCGCTTTCCCTTTGTGAATAAATAAGAGCATATCAAGCTCAATTTATGCAAGTCTCTGATTTCGCTTAAAAGACCCTTTTGCAAATTAGATAAAGGAAAGTTTAAGTTTTAAGGCAAATTTGGAGTTATTCTAACAGTTTTTTTTACTGTTGATTTTCAAGCTTTCAGAGTTATTCCCTGAGAAACCTAAATACCTATTTACTTTGATGTTGGTCACTTATTTTTGAATACAAAGGACAGCACATTTCTTACATAGCAAAAAATGAAATTCTGTCTGTAAAATTTGTGTTGGCTTGATGAAAGTGTTTTAGTTAGCATGCTTTCAAAGTCACTTAGAAACTTTGTTTTTCTTTTTAGTTTTGCTAAATTTGAATGATCTGCTCTTGCTATACAGTGTGTTTTAATTTAGAAAGATTAGCTTTTACTTTGTGGATTCCAGATACTTGGGTTTAAGTAGTGTTTTGGCTTTTTATGAAAGTTTTCCCATGTATTAATACTTTACAACATTAGGTCCTTCAGAATTATGTTCATAAACACACCAGGAACTGATCATAGATAGTGTAAGCATGTTGTATTTGGTTCAAATTTTGTTTCCTGGTTTTTGTTAAGCACATGTTCAAAGTAACTAGATGTGTTTTAGCGCTTGAATGAAGGTTTCTGTTTTCAAGTTAACTTTTAAAAGGACTCTTCTCAGTTCAACAAATGTTTATTGAGTGCCTACTATGTGCAAGGCCATTGTGCTAGGAGCTCTTAGATATTATTTTCAAAGAAAAATCTAACAAGCTTCTGTTTACTTGAGAACTTTTAATCTAGTGCTTTTAGCTGTAATGTTTCTTTATATAGTGGTTGTTTGGGGATGGAAATTGTACCAGGTGTTAGCCTGTTGTAGTCTTTGTGTATTATTACCATTTATTATGCATTCCTTCTTATGCTGTTGACTGTTATCTGTTAAAGCCTTTAAAGATCTTACTAAATGAATGTTGTCTACAGAAAATGTGAATTTGTTTTAGAAAAAAGTAAACATTTCCATTCATTGTGCTGTATTATAAATTCCTGGTGTAGACAGTTATTTTTAAGGCTGAATTTCTAAAATGACTGGTTTAAAAGCTGATAATCTTTAGTCCAAAGAGTGATCCGAAATGGCTTAATGATACTTATACATTTCCTTTTCAGTTCACACTATAATCTTCTACCAAAATTACACTTTTACAATGTCACTCATCTCATGTTTATGTGCAAAGAACCATTAAAATCAGTTTATAAAATTTGAATGACTAGATGTATATAATTATGTCTCCTTGATTAATCATAGAATTTTAGGACTTGAAGAGTCCATCTCTCCCACTTTAGGCAGGACTACACAGAACATTCCTGATCAGTGAAAATCTATTTGATTAAAAAAAAAAAGAATCCAAAGGAAGAAGTTATACAACCTACACAGGTAGCTCATTTTAATATTTTATTATTTTCACTATCAAGAGATTTTTTTATCTGATTTGCACATATATAACGTAATTTTTTTTGTTTCATGGGCTATTCTCGTTGGAAATTGAAAATAACCATATTCACAATTGTACAAGAACTTTTATGTTTGAAAATCATTATTAAATCAACCTGAATTCTTTACTTTTCATGCAAAAGGATCCTAGTTTATTTACCCTCTCATGAGAGGTTTTATTGTTAAAGCCTTACAAAATTTTTGTTTCTCTTACTTAGCCTTTCCAAGTTCTGCAGATAGTAAGCACTCTGATGTAGAACACAGGAACAGTAAGGGAGGGGTTGACTGAAACTTGATAAGGTGAAAAGATTATCTTATGATTCCTCATACTGTATCAATTTTTTGTGTTTTCCAATTTTTTTTTTAACTGCAGTGCTGCATTGCTGACCCATGGTAGGCTTGCTGTATACTATGAAGGTTATATCTTTTTCTGCTATTTTTGGATAGATCCAAAACTTTTACATTTGTTCAGTTTTACTTATATACTTTACTTATATTTACTTTTTCTATTAAAGTGTATTATATTTTATTTGTTTCTGAGATTTCTATTTAGCAAGGGTCTTTGAATTCTGAACTTATCTTCCAAGGTGTGAATGATAACTTGTATTTATTACCAACAAGCAGCTTACGCTGAGAACTATAAACAATGTTATTGGTGTCCAATAAATATCTTTTTTATCCAATAAAATATCTTTTCCTAATTTCTGATAGACCAAGGGTTAGGGTTCCTTTTTAAATCATTGATTTAAAAGTATTTAACAATACTGGTTCCAAAACTTAACCTTTTCAGGTTAAACTGAGAGGTTGATATTAAATCATTGGTGATAGTAATGTACCTTTGTAATAGCTGTATTTTTTTCATACTTAAAGTTCCAGAATTCTTCTGTTTCATTTTTCATGTGTTTGCTCATAGTGATATGTTGGTGATCAGAGAAGGGATCTAAAGATAATGAAAAAGACATAGATAAAATTTGTCTGTCATAATCACTCACTGTCTTTCAAGGAAGTTCTAGAAATGGCTCATGAAACAATTTGGAATCCACTTATCCAGATCCTATTGCTTATTGTATTTTTTACAGGACAGGATCAAAAACCTTGTTAACGTCATGATATATTTCACCTATTGCTTCATCTTGATCTACCTGACCTGCCATTCAGTAGCATATGAGATTAGTCCAACAAGATTTGGTCTTTATCAAGTCAGACTTGTTATTACAGAGTACCCACTTTTCTTCAAGGTATTTGTAATTTTGTGGCTATTTTTTCCTACTATTTTTCAGGTATATAAATTGTTTGCATGTGTATAATTTCCATTGTCATCCTCTTCCATTTTTAAAACATAGATGTTTTGTGATGCTTTTTCTTTTCTAGTCTCAGGATACTTCCTTAGACCTCTGTGAATTCTCAGTATGCTAGCTGGTGGCCTTATTAAAGCTTTGACCAGCTATTTTAGTGTCCAAGAATTCTAGTCATTAATGACTTTTCAGGTTATTTTTTTCAACAGGGATAGTCAGTGAGATGAGGCATGATGTAATAAAAAGAGCTCTTGTGATCTTGGAGGCAGAAGATCCAAGTTCAAATTCTTGTGCCATGATGTTTAATAACTGTGTGGCCTTAGGCAAGGCATTTGATTTCTCAGAGCCTCAGTTTCCTCTTCTGTAAAACAATATTTGCCATACTTCATAGGATAGTTATTAGGAAAGCACTTTGTAAATCTTTTAAGTTCTATGTAAACATGAATTACTATCATCATTGTTGCCATCATTATTCCAAAACGCCCATTTTAAAGTTTCAGGTAGAGCATCTAGGTAGTCCTGATTGAACATTATCTAGTGTTTGGAATTCATAGTGGTAATAATTCTAAATAACCAATATTCATAAACAAGGAAATGTTTTAATCAATTACTGTATGTTTACTATGAATACGTTGATGTTTTCTAATTCTGACTTAGATAAATAGGACTTCAGAATTAAGCTAGTCTAAGATGGTGGTATTTGAAGTGGACAAGACAGTTGTTATTGATATATATTGTGTCTAAATTCCAGTGAAGGGTGGGGCTTAGAAATAATAATTTTATTTTTCCACTTCAAGTTAGATAATGGAAAGTCAATAATTAGGTCATGTGTTTTCTGGAGAACTTGGTTTGTTTTTTTTTTTTAGGACAAAGTCTTATATGAATTCCTGGGTATTAAAAAAGACCATAACTCTTTATTGTTTGCTAAAAGGTTAAAAAAAGGTCTATTTTATGGCAATGGTTTCACTTCCTTTAAAAATTTCAGTATTTTTCTGGAAAGACCAGGGTTTATAAAGTTTGTCACCAGCTCATCATGGAATGCCACGTATTTGATTTCATCAGTGAAACATGTGTTGTGCTTAAACTCTAAGCAGCTGAGCAGTGCCACCCCATAACCAGCTGTTTCAAGAATGTTATCTTTGTACTTGAATGCAACAATCCAGTGTCTTGTTGGCATCAATAAAAGATTGAGGCTTTGAGACCAGGGCATGTTTGGGAGGGATTTAAAGACGAAAAGAACAGTCTATCAAGGGGCTCTTTTTCGAAGATAATTTGTAGAGACTAACTTTTGGTACTAGGTTGAATTTGTCAATAATTTGAGTACCAAGCATGTTTATTATTCTAAGATGAATGTTATAATTAGTTTGTAATACTGTATTGGTCATATATGCTCATCCAGTCCAACAAATATATCCAAATTGCCTACTGTGTGCGATCCACTGTGCTAAGCATTAGATCTATGAATCAAAAATTATCAGTGTTCTCAAAGAGATTACTTTTTGATGTGGATATAAACAGATAATCTGATAAACAAGATATTGTGGAGATGGAAATGAAGTGGGAAAAGTTTTGACTAGGAGCTGGTGCATGAGCTCAGCCTCTCATGAAAGTGGCAATTCTGAGAAGCAGAGAGAAGGAAGGGAGGACATTCCAGGCCTGAGGTCTAAGCTGTAGAGGCATGGCGGCATCTAGGAGATTGGATGCTAAGCTCTGGGGAAAGCAAACAGTCTAGGTTGGCTAGAGAATAGAGCATAGAAAGGAGAGTAATGGAGGGGAAAAAAAACTTTGGAAGGAAAGCTGGAGCCTGACTGTATGGAATCTTCTCTGCCAGACTATAGAGTTAGTATTTTATCCTCAGAGGCTGAAGGGAGTTACCAGGGCAACAAACTGTCTTTGAAACACAAAGTTCTAATGACCTGGGAGTAGATTGATTATTTCTCAGAGATGAGAACAGTGGTGTTCAACCAACATTGTGTGATCATCATCCTTAATATTTTTTTAAAAGAAAGGTAGATTTTCATTTTAGTTTATCTTAGACTTGCTGATGATATGAAGCAAAAAGCAATAGCTAATACACTGAATAACAGAATCAGTCCAAAAAACTTGAAGTCACAGCTCTGCCTGCCCCCACTGCCTGGGTGAGCTTGGGAAAATCACTTAGCCTCTTTGGACCTCAGTTTCCTTCTCTGTAAAACGAGGGGCTTGGATTAGATGCCCTCGTAGCTCTAAATCTGATCCTAGTATGGGGTGAAGCTAATAAAATGAAATGTCATTGGAAGAAATATGAAGTCCTACACCTGAGTTAAAGCATTAACTGCAAGAGTACAGGATGGGGGGAGATGGAGATTGATGACAGCTTATGTGAAAAAGATCTGGGTTTTAGTGGAGTGCTAGCTTAATTTAAGTCATCAGTGGGATATATCAGTCAAAAAAGCAAATGTGATCTCAGGGTGTATAACTGTGGAGCACAGTGTCTGAATGAGGGGATTGATAGTCCTGCTATATACTCTGCCCTGGTTAGAATACACCCTACAATATTGTATTAAGTTCTAGGTACCTATTACTTGAAGGATCAAATACAAAATGCTCTGGTTGGCTTTTAAAGCCTTTCACAACCTAGCCCTGACTTACCTTTTAAAACTTCTTACACTTTATTCTATTCCATATACTCTGTGATCCAGGACACTGGCATCCTTGTTGATCCTCAAACAAGACACTCCATCTATGAACTTTTCATTTGCTGCATTCCATATCCATATCTGGAATGCTTTCCCTCCTCACTTCTACTTCCTCGATTCCCTGACTTCCTTGAAGACTGAACTCACATCTCTCCTTCTTCAAGAGGCCTTTCCCAGTCCCCCTTCCTTTTGGTATTACCTCCAATAAACACTTTCTTTATGAGCAGGGTTGTTTGGGTGTTATCTCCACCATCCGACTGTGAGCTTCTTGAGGGCCAAGGGCAATGTTTTGCTTTTCTTTGTATGCCTAGTGCAGTGCCTGACACAAAGTAAATACTTAATAAATGTTTGTTGATTAAATCTGAATGCCACATCTTTGAAGGCCATTGATAAGTTATCATTTACCAAAGTAAGCCTGACCGAAATGGTGAGGGAACTTTAAAAAAAATCATACCATATTAGGACTGGTTAAAGGAACTGGAGATGTTTTGTTTTAGGAAGATAAGATGTAGGGTTGACATTATTGCTTTCCTTAAGTATTTTAAGAGCCACCATGTAGAAAAAAGATGAGACTTTTTCATTAATGGCTCATTGTCATCTTTTTTTAGTGGAGTGCTCCAGGCTTGGCTTGTGTTTGGCCCAATGCTGTTGAACATTTTTATCAGATAAAGGGAGAGATGGCACGCTCCTCAAATTTTCGGTGAGATAATGCTGAGAAGGATTGCTAACAAGATGAGTGACAGTCAGGATCCATAAAAATCTTGACAGGCTAGAGCAGAAATGTCAGACACACGAGTCATGGGCTACATGTAGCCTACAACACTCCAGAGTATAGCCCAAACCAGATTAAAATGTAATTGGGAAATATTAACAAAATAAATAAAAAATATAATAAAACAGAGATAATATTACATTTTAAAACTAAATCAGTATGTGGCCCACAGGGATTCTTATGGATGACTTAG